ATGGCTATCACTGCTCCTACACAGTTAGCATGGCTATCACTGCTCCTACACAGTTAGCATGGCTATCACTGCTCCTACACAGTTAGCATGGCTATCACTGCCCCTACACAGTTAGCATGGCTATCACTGCTCCTACAGAGTTACCATGGCTATCACTGCCTCTACATAGCTAGCATGGCTACCACTGCCTCTACAGAGTTACCATGGCTATCACTGCCTCTACATAGCTAGCATGGCTATCACTGGCCTACATAGTTAGCACGGCTATCACTGCCCCTACAGAGTTAGCATGGCTATTACTGCTCCTACACAGTTAGCATGGCTATCACTGCGCCTACATAGTTAGCATGGCTATCTCTGCCCCTACATAGTTAGGGTTTCATTTCCCTCTGGGATCAGCTTTATAGTCATGCTAGGACACTTTGATTTTATTTATTTTGCTCAGGCTACTCGTAAGCCCACAGCCCACCAAATGTTAAAAAGGCAATATTATTGCCATTACTGTTAATATAAAGTAGAGCTTTTACACATTCAGTAATAAATGTCACAGTGGATGGTATGGGGGGGTGGTCATTTAAGAAGAGGAATGTAACCCCCCCTTAACTAAAGTACTGTTTATGACACAAAAGTTGACCTAAAAGCATGGCCCAATGTCCTTATGGACAAAGGACATTCTTTTGAGGACCAGCATGTTCACATTTTTGGACAAAGAAGACAGGTGGTTTGAGAGGGGCGTGAAGGAAGCCATCTTTGTTAAGAAAGAAAACCAACCTTTAATAGAGGAGGTGGACTCAGATTTCAGCTTTCAAAAACCTACAATGCAGCAATTGAGTTGATTCCTCCCCGCTATCATGGCAACCCCAACCCCCATAGAGGGGACCAAATCACCTCGCCTATTGGGTCAGGCCAACAAATCCCTTTAACGACCCCCCTTTCAGAGACATAGACAGGTATGGGGCATTGCAGGCTAACAAAGAAGCCAAACGATCCCCATTCCAAAGGGGTGGACCCGTTTCAATTTGCATGTTTTCTAAACTAAAACAAGGATTTGTTGGGCTACTGTATAAAACCTGGAACTCAACGCTATTTCTGACATTTTTAATTGAAAAAGCTTCCTGGATGGAAGAGAAACATCTTCAAACTTGGAACAAAGTCCAGAAGATTGTTTTTTTTTATTTTGGCCTAGAAGGTGCCTCAACTCTCCCAGTCTTCAAATATACCTGCTAATAATGGATCCAGTGTGGATCCTGTCCTTTCAGCAGTACTGTGATGGTCCAAGGCTTACTTTTATTGTCTAAATATCCAACCTGAATTTAAATGTCTATTAATCTATAAGCTCAACCAAAACTTCAAATTGTATCCCCTGATTTGATCAGAAATGAGATGCACTGATCTACATTTATACCATTTTTCATCAGACTGGATTTCTGCTATAACCACGTCCTTTTCGCAGCGATCAGTGACGGGATCAGGATCACTGCTGTGCAGCGCCTGCTGATCAGGGAAATGTAGTTTAAATTATCATTATAATTATCACTGATGATGTGTGAGTTTATTACACCTTAACATCAGCTGCCTGTTGCGTGTTAGAACTGATGTTTTCAACAGTCTTCATTCTGTATGTGGCAATGATGTGGGAATAGAATGAGAGCGGTGTCCTTCCACTAAGAACAAAGTGTAATATTGTGATAAGGCTGCAGCCATGGATGTCTCCTCATTTACAAACATGTAAAATGTGATGATGCTGCAGACTGGAGATGAATAAAATACTTTTCTAACTGTGATTCACGTCCACTTCCTGAGATGTGAGCCTGGATGGTAAGCAGCTGCCTTTTGTAACTCTAAGCAACTTCTCTGATCTGAATCTGTTGTCATGCCTCCTGGTTATTTAATACATGAACATTATGAAGTGTTTTTCAAAGAGTTTGTCCTGAGTGATCTCTTTTCAGGAAAAAAAAAAACTGGAGAGAAACCTGCAAGGTGTAGAGACAGAGCCTATCTTAAACAAACAATAAAAAATCTGAGCCATAAATCTTTATTATCATTGGTTAAACAAATGGTTGCAATCTGTGGAGGAGAAGAAGCGTTTTCTTTCTCTCTGTGGAACAACCGTAAATTATTTTCATTATTCACAGCAGCAGGTAAAGATGACATAACTGCTCATTTCTGATCATGTTCACATTAAAAAGTTTCCTACACGTGTTGTGAGGCTTTCCATGTCGACAGCAGCTGAACCAAACATGGAAATAATGACTGTAGGTGGAGATCCTGACAGGGCTTTCACCCTGCTGGCTTCTCCAAGGCACATTATTAGTCGCCCTCTAGAACATCATGACCTTCAGAAGAGTCGTTGATGTTGCCTGATGTTGGTCTGTTAGTCAAAGTGCTGGGAAACCTCCCATTAAAGGCACAAAAGGAAAGTTTCCTGAAGCAGCAGCAGATCCGATCTTCCTCCTGAGGATGAAGCTCCTCGTCTGTTTATTGGTCAGCAGCGGTGATGAGTTCAAACCACTGCCTGAGTGCGTCGCTCAGGGTCTCCGGCAAGGTGTTGACGTCTCGCAGGATGACGTAGAAAGGGAAGGGGAACTCCTCCATGTAGGAGCGGATCTCTGGTAACTCTCCAGGTCCTTTGAAAACGGGCACCTTGATGTCCAGGATGGAGTCCTGCACCAAACAGAGAGTTAAACGCAGAGCTACAGGTAGAGATGGAGCAAAGCGGTCTCCGCCTTACCCGAGTGTTGGGGTTGTCCAGCGCCACGAAGATCACAAAGATGTTGGCGGTGCGCGCCGCCTGCACGGCTGCCATCACGCGCTCCTTGCCCTCCAGGAACAGCCCCCTGCCGTCGGACACGATGAGCAGCAGCTGGGCCGTCTCTGAGGGAGAGACGGTCACAGGAGGAAAGAAGGTCAAAAAGATAAACATTGGAAGGTTCTGAACCTAAATACCCAGTCTGACACAAAGCGGCGGTCCACAAACCCACCTTTATCTGATACCGTTCTTCATCATCATTAACATAAAGATTCATTTTATTAATATATCATTATTTATACTTACCAGTATCAATACCATTATCATTTAATAACACTTTTTATGAGCAACTATTATGATCATTATCGCTATTTTTGTGTTATCGTAAAAATGTTCATTATTGCTATTAAGATGTATTATTACCATTATCACTAACGTTGCTCTCATCATTAACAATATTCATCATCAATATAATGAGTAAATCTAGGTGCCATGGTTCTATAGAAGTTCTATCCAGGGTCCTGGGCACAGACTGGTCTCCTGTGGGAGCTGTCCATGGTCCTTAATCATTCCATCTATTGTCAGCAACATCAGGGAAACTGACAAAGGCTCCAAAACTCAGGACCTTCTACATAAAAGATGCCATGGTGCTCTAGGAGGGGCGGCTCTAGGGTAAAGAAGCAGGAGGTCAGGATGCAGAATGCTGGTCTCACCAGAGGTTATGGATCCTGGGATGTGCTGCCGGGCCGACAGAAACATTTTCGTTGACGTCTCCAGAAACTGGATTAGAGAAAGAGAAGACCGTTAGAATGATGAAAGTTTAACCA